CGTCGGCGTCGACGATGCGGTAGAGGGTGGCGTTCATCTCGGCGTCCGGGGAGCAGGAGGGCTCGTAGCAGACGGTTTCAAGCTTGAAATGATTGACGATGAGGTCGGCGGGCAGGTGCATGCTCATGCCGAAGCGATACGCGCCGATGTCGACGGTCAGCCCGTCCACGTCCACCGAGTACGTGCGGCCACCCACCGCCTGACGCGCCTCAAACAGGCAGACCGAAGACGCGTCGGCTACAGCGGCGTCAACCGCGAGCCGCCACGCCGAGTACACGCCAGCCCAGCCACCTCCAACGATGGCCGTCGTGCATTGGATGGGCTCGCTTGCATGTGTCCAAGGTGCGGCAAGGAACGAGCTGACGAGGTGGACATGAGCCATAGTTGTCAAGCGAGGCACAACTCGAGTACCGGGTACCCGGGTAGCGGGCTGAGCGACCGCCGGTCTGTGTGCCAGCTATGGGAGTTGGAGCCAGGTGTGGTGTGGACGCGAGAATAGCTCCGCCGTTCATGGAGGCAACCGATGCGAGTCGACTGGTGTGTGTCGTCGTGGTTTCGTATCAAGAATACTCACTCACCCACCGCCGGTCTGTGCTGAGAATTTAAACAAAATAACTCTCTCTCACAGCAGACAGGCTCGACACAGGTGCGAACTGGCGCGTGCTAGTACTATCACAGGCGCGGTCGAGTGCACGGAGCTAAGTGCCTCGCCGTCCTCGCAGGAGTCGCTTGCAGTGGGTTGCGGGCATTAAGAAAACAGGATTTCGCGGCACGCCGCCGTTTCTAAGCCTTTCCACACCCCTCACGTCACCCACCCCACGCCGTGGTTTCTTAGCTCCCAAGGTAGGTCAAAGGTGTCAGAGCCGGCCCCCTCCCCCTCGTCGGAAGAGGCCAAGAGCGGGTGCGAGCCTAGGTGCGAGCTGCGGTCCCGGACGGATCCGATGCCGCCAGCCAGTCTGCCACCGACTCAAGACGCACACGCATCCATCCACTCGCTCAAAACACCGCAGAGGACTTGTAAAATGCCAAGTGCGCGCGCCGCGCGGGCGAAGAGAAATTTTGAGCTCGGAGCTCCTGTTCACACTCGTGTCTGGCCTTTTCTCGGAGCCGCGCCTGCGGCGCGCCGTGGTTTCTTAGATTTTTGCGGAAATCGCTCGGCGTGGTTTCTTAATGCCACGCTTTCTTAATGCCCGCAACCCACTGTAGGCGGCTACCTGTTAGTGCCAGTGCGCGCCAGTCCCGTGCCTTGTGTTGAAAGAGGGCGTGTGGCAAATTTTTCTTCTGCGAAAATTCGGAGGGGAACCCCCGACGGACGGAGAGGCGTGCATGCAGTCGTTGCGTCGCCTGCGCTGGGGGCTGTGCTTTGCCTCCCCCCTTTCCCCACCCCCTAACAGGTAACTACACCCTTCATCTCTATCTAGAAGTCATCCAAAAAACTTAGGAGTTTTGGCACCTTGAGAAAGGCCATGCGGAATCTTACGGATCCGGAATGCGATTCAGCGT